TTGTAATTTGCTTAAGTATTTCATTTTGTTTTTCTTTTGACAGATCTTTGTTTAATAATTTTACAAAATCGACTGCTAATACTGAAGCATATGTTGGATCAAACTTGGCTGTAAGAACAAACAAGTCTAATAGTGTTTCTTTTTTATTGACATAGTTAGTGATTATCTGTATTACTAATTCTTTTTGGTCTATTTTTTCTTGTCTGATCGAAAAATTTTTATTGAATCCAAGTGAAGAATATATTAATTCTTTTGCTACTAGTTTGTAAAATTCTGATACATTACGTTTGATAATTTTGAGACCTTTTAATAATAAATTTAAATTATTTAAATCTGGCACATCTGAATAAGTAATAGCGACATAATGCTTTTTTCTAAAAATTAAAAAGAGATATATTGTTTTTTCGTAAGCCATCTTCAAGTATGTAGATTTCATAATCTGTTTCAAGTATTCATTAATATTTTTTTCTAGTATCTTTGAGTGTAATATTATTAATTTGATCTGTTCCTCCCAATACTCTTTTTTTGATAATAATCCATCAGAGTACTTAGTATCAAGTTCTGTGAAATATAATTCTGGCAATGAATAAAATATAGAATCTGTATCTCCATAAACTACTATAAATTCTTGTTCTCTCACAAAATTAATCATGATCTTTAATGTTGCTTGGCAAAATGCTGTAACTGATGAAGCAACTTCCTTATAATATAATGGTGAATATCTATAACCTGTTTTGCCATATACTGAGTTTGCAAATATTTTTAACGCATTTGATAATGAAGTGTAGTATAGAAGTTTTGTTTTATCATTTTTATACAATTTCATTTTTTGCTTCACATCATTTCATTTTTCTAATAATTCTTTACATATGAGAGCCATAATACCCATCTTGTTTATATCATTGTCGTGTGGTAAAAATTTACCATAAACAATATCATTGTCAATTACAACATTTAAATGTGAATTAGTTGAATCTTTTGATACACGTTTTTCAAGAGATATGTTGTTTTGTATAATAGCATGGGGGTAATATAAAGTGAAATCAACATCTGCCACAGGTCTTTTAATGTTCTTAATTGGTGTAATGACCAGACCTCCATCGTACATTCCTTGTTCAACAATTCCTTTGCGTCGTGATGATACTAAAATCTTTTTAGATGATGCATATCTGCTAAGCAAATTTCGTATCAAACATCCAATACCATTAGTAAAAATATTGGATATTGTCACACATGTGATTCTGGCTCTTTGTACATAATCACTGATTATGTTTCGCTTTAAGTTCAATTCATGTAATCACAATGTGTCAATCGAACAATAATATGCTAGCTCTATCGCATAATCTTTCAACATTGATTTTGAAACTTCAAATGTATTCAAACAATCAGAAAAAGGAATGTTTATTAATTTTGACAGCTGATCAGATAATTTTTCTAACATCTGTTTGTTGTTTTTAAACTTTATCTCATTTACATAAACAAACATGCATCGTAAATCTGTGCTGTTTTTTGTAGGCACATATGGTAAATCGATTTTTCCAGAAAGGCCACAACGTTTTAGTACTGCATCGAGAGTGTTAGTAATCTCTGTTTGAAATGTTTTCTTGGCCCAGACCAAAAAATCAAGAAATACTGTTCGTGGGATTCGCATGAATTCACATTTCATAGTTTCATTTGGAGATATCTTGATCTTTCGATTGTTCATATTGATTCCTGCAAATTCATATTTTAAATTATCTTTATCAATGTCATGATCAACAACTCGTACTGTCACTTGTTGTATATTTAACTGAAAAGTTGTTTTAGTTTTAGTTAACAGTCTGATAAATTCATCATCTATATTCAACAGTCTGGCTTTTTTGAGTACAAAGTTCTAATCGAATTGGCCTGTATTGTAACCAATCTCAAATTCTGGTTCATAATTTCCAACTAGTTCAGCAAATTTCAACAAAAGCTATTCCTGAGTTGGCAACTCAATGAAGATTAATTCTGTTGAATTATATTAGAATAAAACTTTTGACTGTTTATAGGAATAGTTAATAAACAAAATCTCTTTCGAGGAATAGATTCATTGTAAAATATGATATCAAATTGGATCATGTATACATAATCATCTTCTTTCTCACCCACAGGAAAAAAACCTGGACCTCGAGATGATGATGTTTCAATATCTCAGTAAAGTAATAAAACTTTGGTTCCTCAAAATAATTAATTTTTTTAATATCTTTAAATGTAATTAACATGTTGTTGAATATTCTTGAAGTATTTATTTCATACCATCCAACTAATTCGAAATCATTCTCATATGCAACTGTTCTGTAATAGCATGTTTGATTGTCTGAATATGTGTCATAGTATTTATCAAATTCTTCTATTCTTTCAAGTGGAATTTCTTCTCTTTTAGTTTCAATCTTTTTCAATGCTTCCTTTCTTTTTTTTAAAGTGTTGTAATATAATCGTAAAAATGTAAATTTTTCTGTTAAATCGAATGGTTGTCTATATATTTTTTCATAACTTTCTGGTTCAAATTCATTATCATATTTTTTTAAATCATCTTCTGAATGTAACTTGATATCAAAAAAAACTGAATCTATTGATACATTTATTGTAAATTTGGTTCCATCTAAATGGACTATTAGTAATGATAATATATATTTTTGGTTGAATGTTGTTGAATCTATCACATCATATATATAAAATTTGTTTGTATCAAGAGGTTCTATTAATTCTGAACGATTGTACATTTTGAGTTATGCATAAAAAAATCTATCTGGTTTTGTAAACTAGATAAATACTTTAATCCCAAGAATATAAAGCTAATCGAACCATATCTTTAATACTAAAACCAAATCTCAAAGATCTAAGGAATGAAGTATTATCAAAATTATCAATGCTATTTCTAACATGTTCATTTGAAAAAGATAAACATATTTCATAACATGAAGAACAAGTATTATGAATATGATATACATATATTTGATCTAAATATTTTAGTAAACTAGGAACCAGTTTCTCTCATGCTGCACAAAAAACAGATTGGCAATCATAATTAAGATCGAATAAATAATCACTTTTCTCACAATACTCAAATGATTTACAACAATCACAAAGACTTTGTCCAAAAAATG